ACCCTGCTTTTCCTGTTTTTGAGGTGGTGATTGCAGTGCAACGAGTGCATTGCTTTTATTTTTTATGTATACCTTGAACTCTTCGGATAGGCGTCTCACATGAAAAAATCTATAGTGACCGGAAATCGTTCGCATGAATATGGGATTTGGATAACGGGAAAGGCACGTGCACTTTGACGCAAGGTAGCAAATATATATGAAGGGCTACGTGTGTGTGGGTGTGTGCGTGTTCGCTTTTTAATGCGAAGCATTTCCTGGCGTACTGAAAGCACTTCTAGTATCTATCTATCTGTCTATCTATCTATCTATCTATCTATCTATCTATCTATCTATCTATCTATCTATCTATCTATCTATCTATCTATCTATCTATCTATCTATCTATCTATCTATCTATCTATCTACCGCCCATGTCCAGGTGCTCTCATGATGACTCCCTTAACTTGGGGTACACCAAATTTAGTACTGGATAGTAGGATGATTTGATGAATACGACTCGCTGGTCATGACATGAATATTGCCACAATCTCGTCACGTACGTCATCAAACACTTTCCAAAAAACAGTGGCACATACCCAGGTGTGGGTATGGGCCGCTGGTATGCGGGTATTTGCCACAGGTGATAGACATATTACATCTGCCCGGGAACAGTGAGAACACGCATTTGCAAATGTAACGTTTGAGCCTTGAAAGGGCCCTGCAACACTTTTTGAGCATGGTCAGAAAACGCTGCTGATCGGCTGTAGAGGCTCCCGGCAACACGCGAGCCAAATATTATACTGCAGCACGTGGCCTGGGATTTGCAGTAAATTATGAAAGTCAGCTAAGTTGTTTTCTCTTCTCTCGAAAAATCACGGAATATGCCCAAAAATCACATAATAGCAAGCCCATATATCAGCCATTGGCTGATTTGAACATGGCGCGCTTGCTCGTTACAGAGAACGCCGCGGGAGGACGCTACTTGTCCACGCGTGCGCGCGCAATCACATGGAAGAAGCCACGCATTTGAAGAAAAAAAAATAAAAAGTGGTTAAGTTCACGAGGCGTACTTGACGTTTTTCTGTAGCCCTGCCATCCCTCCCTGTTTAGCTTCAAGCGCTTTCGTCGGGACGAGATAAAAGAGAATGCGATTGCAGCATGCGACAAACCTTTGTAACTCCACTCACACTGAACAGATTCTTAAATTTTTTGCGGTGTTGAAATCGTAAGGCAATAAGCTTTTTGAGTGAATTAATTCCATGGTCATGTGAAAAAGCGTTTCAGGGCCCCTCTAAGAAAAAGCTGCCATAGACAGCTTTCACCGTAAGAATGCAAACAATGAATGTCGTGTGTCCCAGCCGGGATTCAACCCAAGCATTCTGCGTGGCAATGAAGCATTCTACCACATAGCCATGCCAGGCGTCATATCTGGTTAACGAAAATTGTAGTTAGGCGCCATGCGCTCAGGTTGACTTGTGTAGCAGTGTTGAGAGCTACCATCCTCGTGAGGCACAGCGCTAACACGAGCGCACCATATCAGCCTACAGCTTCTGGTGTTGTTAGTATATCCACGTTGCTGTTGGCATCGTTACGCAAATGGAAACAACTGCGAATATAAAACATACATGGCTGTTTATCTATGTGCGTAGATTTGTACATACATTTAGCATTACTTCATAACGCCTCGCTAAAATATAAATAAAAAAATAATAAAACATATTCTCTTTCCATCCGCATGCTTCGCATAACATCGAGTTCCAAGGTACGGGTATCTGCTGAATTATTTTTTTTTTAACAGTGGAGCTGTATGAAAGTCCGTTAGTCGCGAACAAAACATATCACACGAAACTGCGTGCGTTCCCTTCGTTCTCTTCTTCATGCTGCGTCTCGCTCCAAGAACACGTCCACCACTTTGACCGGCATTGCACAACTGGGACGGGTGACAAAAACGAGTGAGGAGAAACAAAACAAATGGAAGTGGGAAAGAGGGAGAAATGAACAGATAGAAATAAAAAAAGATAGAAGGAAATGCAAAGCATTAAATTAAGAGATGAAGAGAAAGAAAAAAAAAATGGCAGCATATCTACGGAGTGAATGATGGGGAGTGGGGCGAAGCATTCGTCCGTCCATTCGTTCTTGCTTCCGTCCGTTCCTGCGTACGTCTGTGTAACCGTCCATGCGTCCATCCACCCGTCCGTGCGTGCGTCTGTTCGTGCGTCCGTCCCTGCGTTCGTCCATGCATCCGCGCCTGCGTCCGTTCATGCGTCCATCCATGCATCTGTCTGTGTGTCCGTTCGTCCATCTATTCAGCACTCCAAGTACCACCATCTCGCATCTTTTCATCACATATTCTCCATATAGAAGCACCGCCATCCAGCGGACATCTCAAGGACTAAACGGGAGGTGGCACATGCACACTTTCTTACGGCTTGCGCTTCGGGTTTACTTCCCACCGTTAACCACCTCGGGTTCATGGTATATACTAGTGCACTGTATTCATGGTTATGCGGCCCAACGCTCGCTAAACCTTTCTAAAACCAAGGAGGTTACACCCAGCGAGTATAACGTAGCAACCCTTTCTTGTCAGATCGTGCTCAATGTACATGCCAATAGCTGCTAATGGGGATCGCAGCGTGCGCGTTACCTAAAGGCCGAATGCTCCTGTCTCTCATTCCCCCTTAGCAGCCATTAACATGTGCATTGAGCACTATCTTTTATTGTTCAACAACGCGCAGAAGAAATCTCTCACCGGAACCACCTTGGAGGTCAAAATCGTAATGACCGCTATTTCGGGTATGTGCCACTGGTGGTTACGTACTACGAGGGACGCACAAGCCACGCCATAAGGAGCTTCGCCCCTAAAAGAAATGAACAAGAAACGACGCAGAGTATCGCCTAGCAAAGAGGGGCAAAGAAAAGGGAGGATGAGGAGTAGGGAGAGGAAGGAGTCAGGTGAAGCATAGCACAGCCCCGTATAGGATGATATACGATGGGGTAGGGAAGTGATGTTGCGCAGACGTGTTGCGAAGGTGACGTGTAGTTATATGAGGAACGACAAAAATGAAGACTGTTTACAAACACGCACCCTTGATGACATCCGGTTTTGTCCACCGATGTGCCTTAATAGCATCGGTGAGAAATAAGAGCTTTAGAGAATAGCCCGCATATTTTCTACACTTTTTTTCCCTTATTGGGCAAAATATATTTCAATACATGTTCTTTTGAGCTACCTAAAAATTATAAGAGATGCAATTGAACCTAACGTGGGTTACTTTATGCGAAAAACTAATGAGACGATTTCCTTTTCCACTGAAAAAAAAAAAACACTCGAAAACGTGCTCTTAGTTCCGACGTTAGGAGCTAGTACGAGTGACCAGAAGTTTTCTGGGGTACAACGCTTGTGACCTTGAAACCGTCTATAGTACAGAAAGTGGTGGAAAAAGTGAGGTAAGAGTGAGGAGCGGAAAGGAGGTGAGGAGTATTTGCAGCTGCGCTGCTTCACCAGTATCTGCATCACTAGGGCGTAGCTGACCCAACCTTTCCCGTTATTTTTGCCCATTTACCAAGTATATGAGAACAATGTGAAGTATTGCAAGTATCGGCATTCAAAAAGTTATGAGTCCTAAAGCTCCTATATCTGAAAGGTGCTTCTTTTTCATGTGTTATGTTTATGTCATATTTTATAAAAATAACATGCAGGTATAAATAGTTATTCTCTAATAGCTAAGCGCAAAAGTCATACTCTTGTGCCCTTGATATATCCTTCAGTTTGGTCCAAAGCTTGTCTGACTGGTGCTTTGCCATGTTCCAGATTTGAATGAGCAATAGAGAGAAATTGGACATTAGCTGAGCTAACCGTTTCAAAGCAGGAACCGTACCACATTTCATAAACATACAGAGTAAAAGGCATCAATTAAGTGCATTACATTATTCAGCGTTATTACTTGCAGTTATGTTTTTTTTAATTAAGAGTAAAAAAGTACCAGTATATTTTAACGTGTTCGATATTCTTGCTTGTGCGTGTGATAATATTTGAACGTCAATTCACCTTACTGCATATTAGAGCGGGTTGGTAGTTCCCGGCAACGTAAGCACGCGCGAAGCAGCAATAACAGGGCTATATATAGAATGGTGCGCTATGCCGAAAATATTCCGTTTCAGCCATACTCGTTTACAGTCACCGTTTAAACGTCTTCCCTTTCGATCTGTCGTATACAGAGACGAAACATTTTGTTCCCATAGTTATACCTTACCCTGTGATGAAACTTATATAATGCGTCGCAGATAACCCATCGTTCCCTGTAACAAAAATTAGATGTGACCGCAATCCTTGATTCAGGTATTTGGTAGTGGTCCTCATACCACGATGTTCGCGTTCTTTGGTGTATTCCTTGGGTTATGTTTATATTTTATTTCATTGCACTGCCGCAGACGTGGTTTCAGAGACAGCGTAGAAAGAAGCGCGTGGTTTAGATCTGCTCCGGCAGGTGCCGCAACAATTCCAGCTACCGACTGGGAAACCGCCTGTTCTGTCAATGAGTTCATTCGAATAATTTTTCCTAACTATCCTCACAACCACTTGGCCCTTATCTTAATTGAACTTATGATCTTGTATCACATGTATGCCATAAGCCTCTCAAGCCGCAACTTTTGATTTCGCGCCAGATTTATTTTTAAGCACATTTCCTGTATATTCCAAAAGCTGAAAGTAAGTGCTTGCAAGGAGAATGGGAGTGTTACTTGTTGCTCGTGCCACAAGTGAAGCCACACTGACCCATTTGCCAGGAAATGGGTGACATGATTAGTGATGAGCACGCTATAGGAGTGAAGCACAGCGCATAAGAACCATTATTTACCACTTGCTCGTCAAGAGGTTATCAGTTGGTTTAAGTGAGCTGCGCGCAAAGTCAACTGCTCTGCTATCAAGTACGTACAAGCTTTTTGACGATGTCATCCCGTTTGAACAGTGAAAATAAACGTATTTTACCTTGTACTGACTCTTTCTTTCTCCACTCGAACAGGGGAGTGCGGGGTACCATCCATTGTGCCGCAAACCAAGGTCGTGGGAGGAAAGAGTGCAGCGTTCGGAGCTTGGCCATGGCAGGTACGTAAATTCTGGTTAGGAGCCAAAGCGAAAGAGTGAAGTAATTTTCCTAGCGAGAACAAATAAACATGGGTAACCCCATCAATGACTGTAAACAGCTTAGCCACAGCTTGGGCATTCAACATTATTGTAGGTTCTATGACCAACCCTCCTAATATTATTCGCAGCATTTTTTAACCAACGTGTGGCATAGACAGTAGAAAATTGCCACAAGCATTTGAGACACCAACTCTCTAGCAACTTTTATCACACAACTTGAGTTAACAGCGACCTATATTATACTCTTCAGATTTGATTCAAACTGACATTACACGCACTACAGCACGGAGCCTGCCACTAAAGGGACATGAAGTTGCTTAAACGGTGGTCAACGTAGTATTGGGATAAGTTGAACCTATTTTACAGAGTCCTAGCAAAAGTTACTTTCAAAGCTTGAAAAGTACTCTGCAGGATACCGAATACGTAAAAAACGGGATATCACATAAAATTTCTTTTCGATACTTTAGGAATATCGTTCATTTTCTATAGTGTATTCTCACTCACCTTGACATAGTGAACATTATCTCTCTAGATCTACCACAGTCTACACTGCCTGAGCTTCAGGTTGCGCAACTTGGTGATGCTGACTACCGAAAAGAGGCTCATTTAATTTAAAGAAAAGGAAGCTCTAAGATGCCTCGGCACAGCACTGGCCTTGACAAACTTGCTAAAATAGCGGATCAGAGGTGGTACGTGAAGCACTAAATTTAGACGCTATGCGGTCATTTGTCGATAATTTTCACGTATCTATCGAGCATGCAGGATAAGCTATACTCCTATCGTCCTACTATATCGCTTGAATACTTCAACTGGACCATTGCGATACTACATCGCGACATGGCATAAAATATCCGTAGTTCAACGTACGTACATACACTGGAGTGTTTATAAATGAATATTCTCGTGTTCCTTATATAGAGGTGACATTCAGAAAAATATTTTATTTAATTTATTTAGAGATACTGCAGGCCCTCCTCGGACCCATGCATGCAGGAGTGAAATACAAGAAATACAATCAGACCGTGTTTAGTTATACACTGAATAGCTTGGCATAATTCAAATAATTTACCTTTGTTCTCCACATGAACTGAACAAGTGGTGCCAACCGGATATCTACCCAAGAGGTTATGGTTTTTTGTCACGATACCCTACAAGGATAGGCAAAATCGGATGTATGCACTAAGGGACAAAAAAGGCAATATAACTACCAATATGCATAGGATAGTTAAAATAGCGGAGGAGTTTTACAGAGATCTGTACAGTAGCCGGGACAACCACGACCCTAATACTATAAGAACTAGCAGTAACCCAGATGACACACCATCAGTAATGATAGAAGTCAGAAAAGCTTTGGAGAGCATGCAAAGAGGCAAAGCTGCTGGTGAGGATCAGGTAACATCAGATCTGCTGAAAGATGGAGGACAGATTGAGTTAGAAAAACTAGCCACCCTGTTTACGAGCTGTCTCCTGACGGGAAGAGTACCAGAGTCTTGGAAGAACGCTAACATCATCTTAATACATAAGAAAGGAGATGACAAGGACTTGGAAGAATTACAGGCCGATCAGCTTGCTCTCTGTAGTATACAAGCTATTTACAAAGGTAATCGCTAACAGAGTAAAGCAAACATTAGAATTCAATCAACCAAAGGAACAAGCAGGATTTGGAACAGGCTACTCAACAATTGACCACATTCATACTGTCAATCAGGTAATAGAGAAATGCTCAGAATATAACCAACCACTATACATAGCCTTCATAGATTACGAGAAGGCGTTTGATTCAGTAGAAAGATCAGCCATCGTGCAGACACTGCGGAATCAGGGCGTAGATGAAGTATATATAAACATTCTGGAAGAAATCTATAGGGGATCAACTGCTACCATAGTGCTTCATAAAAAAAGCAACAGAATACCAATCAAGAAGGGTGTAAGGCAGGGGGACACAATCTCCCCAAGGCTATTTACCGCGTGCTTACAGGAGGTTTTCAGAAGCCTAGAATGGGAACAGTTAGAGATAAGAGTTAATCGAGAATACCTTAGTAACCTGCGCTTCGCCGATGACATTGCATTGCTGAGTAACTCAGGGGACGAATTGCAACTCATTATTACGGAGTTAGACAAGGAGAGCAGAAAAGTGGGTCTTAAAATTAATCTTCAGAAAACGAAAGTAATGTACATCAACCTCGGAAAAGAGCAGCGCTTCGAGATAGGTAATAGTGCACTTCAAGTTGTAAAAGACTATGTCTCCTTAGGGCAGGTAATAACCATAGAGCCGAACCACGAGATTGAAGTAACCAGAAGAATAAGAATGGGGTGGAGCACATTCGGCAAGCACTCTCAAATTATGACAGGTAGATTGCCGCTATCCCTCAAGAGGAAGGTATAAAACAGCTGTATCTTGCCGGTACTTAGCTACGGAGCAGAAACCTGGAGACTTACAAAGAGGGTTCAACTTAAAGTGAGGACGACGCAGCGAGAAATAGAAAAAAAATGGTAGGTGTAACCTTAAGAGACAAGAAGAGAGCAGAGTGAATTAGGGGACAAACGGGGGTAAAGGATATCATAGTTTAAATGAAGAAGAAGAAATGGACATGGGCCGGGCATGTAGCGCGTAGACAGGATAACCGCTGGCAATTAAGGGTAACTAACTGGATTCCCAGAGAAGGCAGGCGGGTTAGGCGGAGACAGAAGGTTAGGTGGGCAGATGAGATTAAGAAGTTTGCGGGTATAATTTGGCAGCAGCAAGCACAGGACCGGGTTAACTGGCGGAACATGGGAGAGGCCTTTGTCCTGCAGTGGACGTAGTGAGGCTGATGATGATGATGATGACCTTACAAGGATCAACAGCCAATGTTCAGGTACTTTTCTTTAGCGCATCGAAGAGCCTACCAACCAGTGTCCAATTACAGTATGATAACGGAGAAATCGCTGGGACACATTTGGAGTCAAACTTTCTCGTTCTGCAGGCTAATATGAATGTATACGCACGTGAAAGCACATACTACAAAAAAGTGAGCGCGACAGGGGTTCGTGTTCGAGCTCAGCTGTTTACTGCACATGCGTGCAATCCCCACACATGAGCCACGGCTCGACATGTTTCACTGGCTGCTCGTATTGTAGATCACTTTACCTGGTAAGCCGCACCGATTAGAATGGGAATAAATATTGCTCTACGTTCTCTAATTTTGATGACTAATGATGGCGCACATCACAGTATGAGACGACGTGACTACGTGTAGCAAAGTGATTGGATCCAGATTGAAAGCTTTCCCACTAAGCTGTGTGTCACGACATTTTCGTTTTATTTTTGAAGGCGATTACAAATATAAAATTCTAAAGACTCACAATGCGAAATGGACGCTGTAATATGTTACTGTATTTCTCGGTATTTCAATTCTACCTGAATTCAATCACAAGTCTGGCCAGTTTAACACCTTGCCGTGACGAGGTTGAGCATGCGCATGCATAACTCGTTCAAACATATTCCGTGCAGGCCTCAGTGAACAACGAGTTACTCAGTGCCTTTCTTTAAACGACTGCACACTTTCTTCGGCACATTACTTACCGTGGGGTTTATTATAGTTCATTATTACGGATATTGGGACAAGACATCCCAAACAAAAGGAATATGGAAGGACGATACTGCATATACTTATAAGTCATGCGCTTTTATAACTGAAGACATCATGTCAAAAATAATGTAGTAAAAAAGCGCTTGGGTCACGTATGTGACTGACGTTTAGGAAGCCTTAAGTGTTCAGAGCTCTCACATCAACGACGCATTTAACGTTACAACGTTGCTCGTGCTTCACGAGAAACAGAACTTACAGAAATACATCGTTGTTAATGTCATCTTATTCGTCTCGAGAACACCTGCTGTAAACAAGAAATGTGAGATAGCCGACTCCTTTTTGTTCCCTTTTTGTCCCCTTTTTGTTCGCACTAAATTAGACAAGTGTCGAAGTGAAACAAATGCAAGCTGATTGGCCTTTCATTATCGATTATAATTTCATCTGAATACTTGTGTCTGATTCAAGGAGTGCTAGAGACATTTCACACAGATTACGTTGCCACTCTATGTACTACACCCGCGAGCCAAAGCATACGCACCACAGGAGCGCGTGTCGAAATTACCACCTGCGCCCTCTGGTGCGCCGTCTACTGTCCAGAGCATTGCTCTGGCTCACGCATGGCTACTTCCGATCCCTTCCACTGCAGGCGGCGAGCCACGAGACAGTGCAGCCGGTGATTTCGACGCACTATCTGAGGTGCACATGCTTTGGCTCGCGGGTGTTACCTCTAAACATACAAAAATATTCCCAAAATAGTGTAGTTGGTTTCTTTTGTAAGTTGACTTGCCGTAATAACCATGGAGTTTTGTTAGTTAAGATTGATTGATTGATTGATTGATTGATTGATTGATATGTGGGGTTTAACGTCCCAAAACCACCATATGAATATGACAGATGCCGTACTGGAGGGCTCCGGATATTTGGACCACCTGGGGTTATTTAACGTGCACCCACATCTGAGCACACGGGCCTACATCATTTCTGCCTTCGTCGGAAATGCAGCCGCCGCAGCCGGGATTCGATCCCGCGACCTGCGGAGTATCTTAGCCACTATAGACCACCGCGGCGGGGATTGTTAGTCAGGCGGCTTCCTGAAAATTTAGTTTTAAGCTTTTTTTTTATTTACGGCAACTAAAGCTGCTCAGTCAGACTGCTACTTTATGAAAGAATTGTCCGTAATCGATCTTTTATCGTCTCGTCGAGTCACTCAATCAGCTAGCTGAAAAAAAAGTAACATACCTCAACAACATTCATAACATCATTACAATGGCACAACCATCTAATAACATACGCAACATATGCGAAGTTGAGAGGCACGCAAAGTAAGTGGCGGTTCCCTAGGGGGAACCCTCCTCTGATATATTAGGAATTCACCGATGGCGTAAATCATTGTGCAGTAAGCACCCCCTGCTTCCTTCCCTATTAAGGCGTTTATAATCAGATATCCCCCCACTGTTCTAGCCTCTCTTTTAACACCAAGAGAAAATCCTAGCGCGAATCGACACGCGTGTTCAGCGTAAGTTCCGTGAAAGCAAAGTACATTGCAGGTCATTATAGAGAACCCTTTTGCATTCAGAACACTTGCCGTTTATTAGGGTGACGTAACTGTGGGTGCGTAATTAGACCTAATGTTGTTCCATTATGACTATAGCGCAGCTTCGCGTACCTTCGTATGCACTTGTTTCTTGCCAATACAACTGTCTCTCATGTTTTTGTGTGTGTTTTTTTTCCTGTGTAATGCCATAAAAACAAATAACCAGTGCCATCTAAACACTCTAAATGCCTCCTAAACACAGCACATATATTACTGCTTTATTTTGCCCCGATTCTATTCAGGAAGGTCATTTCACTTAAATCAGTCAATAGTTGAAGATAAGCGCCGTAAACTTGCAGGGACTACTAACACGCTACTTAATTTTCCGGGAAAAAAACCTAAGAGGTCCTTAAATGGCACTAGGTAATGCGTATAAACACGATGCTTGATGCTATAAAGTATACCAGAAGCAGCACATTGAGAATGCATTGCAGTTATTGGCGAACTATAGCACCGGAAAAAATTAAAGGCATACAAGTACATAGGCGTCGTATTCGTGCTACTATGGCAAAACAAGTAGCATGAACGTTTCACTAAAAGAAAATAGAAAACAAAAATGAGCAGTCATATACAAAATAGGCGCAACTAACAATATCTATATCGGTGCAACTAACATTCATATATATTGCAAGAAGGACCCGAAACAATGAAACAAAAGATAACATCGCATGTAGCCACGCAAGCTGACTGCAATTAAACTAAAAACAAAGCGGTTTGCCATAGCTAATTTTGTGGGTCCTGCCTCGCTACATGTACAGCTCTCTTTAAATGCACGCCTTATCTCTCTTTTGGCCCCGCCGCGATGGTCTAGTGGCTAAGGTACTCGGCTGCTGACCCGCAGGTCGCGGGATCAAATCCCGGCTGCGGCGGCTGCTTTTCCGATGAAGGCGGAAATGATGTAGGCCTGTGTGCTCAGATGTGGGTGCACGTTAAAGAACCGCCAGGTGGTCAAAATTTCCGGAGCCCCCCTCTACGGCGTCTCTCATAATCATATGGTGGTTTTGGGACGTTAAACACCATATATCAATCAATTAGCTCTCTTTTGAAGTGATATGTCTTTTCTAGGCGTTACTCCCTCTCACGAAGCAGTTAACGTATGTATTAAAATTCAGTTAAATTTCAAGTATTCAATTGAGTTAAATTAAGTTTGGTGATACCAGTCAAGTTTGGTACCACCAAAACTAGAAAAGGGGCAAAGCTTTTTTTCTCACTATTATTGTTGAGTGCATTGTGCGACGTTCCCAGCTGACTGCACACCACACGCAGGAGCACTCGTTGCTTTGATTCTGGCCTTAGAAATGGGTGATGGACGCCAGTTGAAGAAGAAAACCAAACGCAGGTTTCCCGATAACGTATTTCACGATGACTGCAGGTGTCCGTACGGAGGACGTCTTTCTTCGGCTTTTCAAGCACCCATCGCTGCGGAGGCGCCATCCTGAACAAATACTGGATCGCCACGGCGGGCCATTGCGTGGATGAGTACAGTGACCTTTATGACCTTCTATAATGCGAAGCTGTTGATGACATTGCGATAAACTGTGAGCATCGTCTAGCTTAAAGCGCACATCGGAAGAAGGACAACACGGATGAACAGGCAAATGTTGCTCATTCTTTCTTGTCCATGTTTGCATGTGCACTCTCATATCCCCGTTATGACGATCCAATGAGCGCACCAATGTGTCCCGTCCTAACTAATACCGTTTAGCTTAGTTAAGCATTCCAGGCGATTATGCAGCATTGCCCCATCTCAATAGGGCGGGTTCCACCAACAAGCGTCAATTAATAAAAAAACTCTAAAGGTGTGTTGTAACACCACTCAAAAGTAAACTGCGGCGTAATTTTTTTCAAGTGTATGTACTTCATACTCAAAACCATCATGGCCACTGTGCGAAATTATCAAAATAAGAGAGCGTCAGCAGCACACGGTGCACGACCCTATACGGTTGCTCGATCACGTGAGCCCTTCGTCGCATGTGCAGCTTGCGACAGCGTACGCTCTTCTGGCGTGCGGCAGCGCATTGCAGTAGCGGTCAGGATCACACAACGATAAAAATTAAACCGCAAGGGGTACTGCAGAGGCCATTTCACACTTTTCTCACGTACGCATTGCAGCCATGTTTTCGTTTGTTTGTTTTTTGTTTTTTTCTGAAGGGAGCGGGGCCGAGACAGGTTTACAGAGTTGCGCGTAAACGATAGAATAAAAAGTTCTCAAATGTCGGAGGGCGCGGAAGCAAAGCTCGACGTTTCGTTACTGCAGTGACGTCATCTCACGAAGCACCCCGCCAGCCACTGCACCCCGTCGAGAGACCAACGACCTCATGCACGAAGGGGTCTGGATTACATCCATTACTCGTTATCGCGGTAGCTCGCGGTTTTTTTTTTTTTTTTTTTTACACTTTGTCGCGCTGCTTCCTTGGATGACATGAACGCGAAGGAACGAGCAGATTTGAATCGCCGCTCCAACCGGGCTTGCGTTCAAACGCCGCCGAAAGTAGCGCCACCGCACGTACGTCCCCGCTACCACCGGCAAAGTTTGAACGGGCCGGGCCCGAAACGAAACCAGTTTGTCCTCTTTCCGCTGCGGGATGAGTTCTCTGGACTGCCGCGAGATAGCGGCACCTTTCAAAGAGCGGCTCTGATTTGCAAGATGAGACCCGCAGCCGAGAGACGCGCGTAATATAAAACGCGTTAGTGCTAAGGTAGGAGAGAAAGTAATGATAAAAAGCGATAACTCATTTATCTTTGCAAGTAGCATTGGTGTGTGCGCGAAGGCATCGCGGGTACGTCGAGTTTGTGGAAGTCGTGTTCTCCGAACACTCCTGTTGGGTGCACGTTAAAGAACCCCAGGTGGTCGAAATTTCCGGAGCCCTCCACTACGGCGTCTCTCATAATCATGTGGTGGTTTTGGGACGTTAAACCCCACAAATCAATCAATCCGAACACTCCTGATGCAATGCGACGAAGCTCCTGAAAAAACGGGGCTTACATCTCGCGATTGGTGGGCAGGCACCGAAACGTGCGCACGCAAACGCACGCAAACAAATAAAAGATTCAAAGAAAAACAAAAACAAGGTATAATCCTAGTCTCATCCACAATACTATATTAAGTACTTATTTGGACCGGTTGGTAGATGCTGAACGAAGCGACAAACAGATCTAAACACGAGACAGTGAAAGACACGAGACAGTGCTTGGTCTCTTTCACTGTCCCATGTTTAGCGCTTTTTTTTGTGTGGGGGGGGGGGGGGGGGGGGAGGAAGGGAGGGGGGCGGATTTGTTGCTCAATGCACTAGTTTTCTTGTTTTTTTATGTTTTATTGTTATTTTTTAGTTGGCTACACACATTATATTTAGGGTTTAAGGTCCCAAAACCACAATATGAATATGAGAGACTCCGAAGTGGAGGGCTCCGGAAATTTTGACCACCCGGGATTCTTTAACGTGCACCCGAATCTGAGCACATGGGTCTAAAAAAAAAAAAACAACTGCTAACTTTATTACGCAGTATATTTATAAGCGCTAGCTGCAAATGACAGCATATGTTCAGTGAGAATTTCGACACTTTTTAACAAGCACCAGTACAGTAGTTTTTAAACAAAAAAGTGAAGAAACATAGTACTGATACAAGTTATTTCGGGGTGTATTACGAATTAAATGCTGTGATCGACTACAAGGATAAGACACGACAGCAAGTTGGGCAAGTAGGCCGTTCAGTGCCGCGCTTTTCAAATGCTTAGGTATTGTTATTCCGACTCAGTGGTAAAACTGTTCGTTCGCTCGTTCCTTTATAAATAAAAAGAAATCGCCATATGAAACCATCTCGATGAAGTGAAATTATTTCTTTATTGACAGGGCTCGTTCTCGAACCCACACCCCCGCCCTCTTATTGGCATAGTTCTACACCCTATTTCTTGCCTTCTCTCTACGGTATTTCCTCGAAAAAGGAATGAGACATAAGAATTCTCTTTTCTAACGCATTACTCAGCTTGGGGTAAGACACATCGTCAGAGCGTGTTGATATCACGACCTACTGTACTCCTGATCTGCCCAGCTGGGGGCAGCCCATGCGTGGGAATGCACTGGGTTGCCGCCGGTCAGAGAAGAGTTGCAGCACGCATTGAGTAATGTCACGGCTATCTTGAATCATTTTATTTCATGTGACTTTGAGAATCCTCTTTTGCATTTTAGTTGACATTTCAGTCCATTATTTTTCAAATATAATCGCAAATCAGGTGCAAACACATGTATCAGCGTGCAAAACAAGAAAGAATGGCGACGTAGACAGGTTGTAAAAAGCGCTGGCCACCCAATGTTTACTTAACTCATAATACCAGCTATATGTGTATAGAATGGTAGACTTGTTGCCGTTGGATTAGACTCAGCTTGCTTGCATTTACTGTCTGGGCAAGAAAGGGCAAGGACTATGACACTTGACAGTATCCGCGGCATCCGGCGCGCATAGAAAACAACCCAATACAGATAATTTTGCGCATAAATACCTTCGTCTCAAAGGACAAATGTAGACGCAGGTACACGAATAATCAATTAAAGACACTCTGCAGTTGTTTTGAAACGAAACAGCACTTAAAATAACTTATTCAACGCTAATTCTTCACACATGGGTGTGTTTCAAAACCTAGTTGCATAACCACATGTAGTGACATGGTTTCCATATGTGCACTCATGTCATCTTTCCTTTTTTTTTTGTTTGTTATAAACAGTTGTGAGTATAGCGCGTCGTCATTTACTTTTTTGAGGTTGTCGGTTTATTATTTTTTTGCGCTAATATGCGTTTCAGTCTGTCATGCACCACCAACCGCCCAGCAACTCACTCTTTTAGAGACACGTAGTCCTGTACAACACAGAAATCAACTTGATCCATTTTTCCTGGACCTCGGTCACTGGAAACTCATGAATAGTCACATCAGGAGTCTTCCCCTTGCCTTGATTCGCAGAAAGGCACGCAGCACACCACCATCGTGATGTTTAATTTGCATCAAGAAACCTCGCTTCGCTGGTGTACAAACTGCACCGACCTGCAAGCTTCTGTCGCAGCTCGGCACGAGCTGCGACAGGTAGCGAAAGATCGTCATTATACTTTTAAGTTTATTCAAAAAAGAGGTTTTTATTCATTTTAATTGTCCAGAGTGCATGCACGCGTAAACATTGCTGCTTTTCTCCCAGCGTCACGCGAGTAGACTAAAAAGAAAAAAAGAAAAAAAAAGGCGCGGCGACCCATGTTTTGGCCGCCAGCAAACGGTGCGGATGAGGTAAGTTGCAGCGCCACAGGGCGCATAGCGGCAGGCATTAATGCCAGAAAGGGCGCGCTGGCGCTTCGCTCGTTGGGCAGGTCAGTAAAATACAGAAGGTCGTGGTTGATATATACTAGGTTTTTCAGTGTATGAAAAGGGTTTTTCAAATCTTACCCGTCATAACACTCTAAAACACAGTAAAACCTGAGAAGGTTCACATGCACCAGCCAGAGATACTGCTGTGCACCAAATATATCCGGATCTATATAATCGTTTTTATATTTCTCAGTTTTAAATGTTCATTCTAACGCTATCAAAGGTAGGACAAAACAATATCCACTACAGTGCTTGCTTTTCTAATAGTGGTAACGCTGCAGTATTGGCAAACATATATATAAATAAAAGATATAGGAGCATATTGTTTCTCATGATCTAAGAACATCTGAATTATGTTTTCAAACATATAGGGAGACATTCAAAGCATATTCATCTATGTTTTTGGTATACTGTCATTTTGTGCGACGTTAGTTCTATACTACACCGATAGAGTTTCGGCCGTTTAAAGGTTTTATGTGGACTACCACGGCGGTGCAGTTATTACTATAGTTGTATACGGTGCTCGGCTGCTATCAGAAACGTCAGAGAGGCGAGGTGTTATAGAGGCCAGTGGACTGTACGATTTTCAGTGGACGTCAATGAAATCCTGGTGGTGAAAAGTATCCAGAGCCATCCACTATGGCATTTCTAATAATGCTATCGTGGTTGTAATACCCCTTAAGTTGTGATTGTGAACATTATATGGGAGGAAAACAAAGAATAGAAAAGTGAGAGGCTGGCCTCAATAGCGTCCAGTTTTTTTTCCACCCTACACTGGGAAAGTGTACAGGTATAGCAAAGTGGCCGAGAGAGAGAGGGGGGGTGAAAGTGTAGGGAGTGTGGGTGGAATCAGCTTATTAGTGTGACACGGCAGCATATAGTCGAAGTCGTCCGCAAAAGCTGGTCGTCGTCTTATCTGTCACAATCTTTATCACAAAGTGACACTTAGCCAACGAAACGCCGTTTGAGGCACGCCGTGATAGTTTCGATCCTCCTTTGAAAACAGCAATGTGATGGTCATACTGCAGATAAGCGCTTTCAGTGGAAACCGCTAACTAACAATGCGCTACGCGGCAGTAGAAAACTGAAAGGCCAGTGAATAAGAATATGACCCATTTCCCGCCCAGAACTGCAGTTCAAGTACATGGCACTCTGCTAGGTAACACGGACAGGCAGTTTGGCACGCACTCGCATGACCAGCAAACTTTTATGGTCGACTGTACATACGTTTTGGCATTCTAAATGCAGGAAATGACTTTAATGTACGCGGCACGCAACAGCAGAAGTGCCACTCCCCGATCAGGTTGTAGTCCTTAAGGCAATATGTGTTTTGACTGGTTTAAGAAGCATGGTACCTTTTGCGTAGAAATTTCTGGGGACCTGCCACCTCCACTCTCGTCTCTTAGGCCTCCAAGAACAACAGCACATATGTCGCCTAACACAAGTGTACCTGGTACGAAAACAGTCTTCGTAGTTTGCGTTTCAAACCTGCGGACTCAAAATCACCTCGGCCAATTCGCTACTACGAAATATCCTAGGAGAAGCAGGAATTATACTCAGGGACAACTTTCTGTGGAAATGAAGGGAAGGCTATGAAACCAAAGTGGGCGTGTGCCACCGTTAAATAATATGGCCCCGCATATACGTTTGTTTTCGGCGCGAAAATCATAAAAAAACGGCATTAATTTTTTTTATACAGGATCCTGCTTATAAAGAGACGCTGAACGAACCAGGGAGATATAATTATTTGTTTTGCTTTATAAAGTGCAAATTCGCGTTTTGAACGCCTGAAAACGTCACACTTCTTAGGTTCACCTCATAGTCAAAAGGGGAGCTTCACCTTTAGGGGAGCGCACGTTGCCCTGCAGCTAGCCCGACTACTCGCCAAAGAAGTTTGTGTAGAATTTCACTCACAAATGGCTGCGTAATCAGACGTAGCAAGTTCTATGCTGTGGTATTATTCGCATACGGCCGTCATTCGAAAAGCGAGTCCATATCCAGACTACTTCGCGCAGAAGTACAGGAGCAGTAGCTTCAATTCCCGTAGCTTTCCCTTCATTGCCACAGAAAGTTGTCCCCGATTATAGTCTCAATTGCATACAATGGCTGTCGAGTTGTACACAAAGTTTCTCACTCATGGTTCATATTTGGACCTAAATAGCTGGTCATCCACATTGCATTGAGGTCACTGTGCTGCTCATGTACCGCTCCGAATCACAGAGCGTGTGAAACATTGGCAGTGTATGTTTCATGCCTCGTTATGATTTCCTATACTATGAATAGACTGCGAGTCAGCAATTCGCTCGGAGCTCAGCTGCCAGTTTCACAGGACGCGGTAATCGAGAGGCAAGGAACATGCCTGTAAACGCCTTTCGTTTGACCGTGCAAGCTAAAGCGATATCGCGACCATATTATAACTCAAAAGTATACGCCACGCTCCCTTAGGTCACTTGAACTTATCTTTATTATCAACATGTAAGGCCAGTTCAAAAGAAAGAAAAACGGTGAGAGAAAAGCACGACATCTTTTGAAATAGTAGGAAGCAGCGTATACACCTGACTGATCGACAATGTCGCAACAGCGCCTCATCATAAAATCTTAACAGCTCCAGCTCTTTTATTCTGCATTAACGCCTTCCTGTATCTACATGCAAGGCCAGGGCCGTACCCAAGAATTTTTTGGTGGGTGTTTATGTGTAGAATGGTAATTTTGGCAGCTGGTGGGCAATGTGATGGCATGTCAATACTTTAGTATCCTGCGAAAAGTTGTTAGAGCACGAGAAAATTTCGGGGGGTGGGTGTCAGAACCACCTCAACTCCCCCTTACAGTTACGGTCCTAAAGTAAGGCAACTGGTCGAACTGTGCAGTTGTTAGCGCACTAGCTCAGCAATTTCACTAAGACACTGGATCTGAGCATATGTTTAAAATATGTTAGCTTCCGTTTACGGGGTGTTAACAGTTTGCTTCTTTATATTGCAGCACCTCCAGCATCCAATGTCTGTGTATGTGAAACTGTTTTCTCACACTCGAATAGACCATAAAATAGAGCGCAGTGTTTCCATATCCTGAAGAGCGCATAGCACAACTACCACTCACCGTCATATGTGGGAGAGTTCAGTGCGGACGTCACACACGAAGGGATACCAAGGCCATAAAACATAAACGAAACGGAAGGTTCAGCCTTTATGTCGCTGCAGAAGCATAGCTACTTTTGCAGTGTCAGTGTTTGGCCAGTGCTAATGAGCTTTATTATTTTGTATACCAGCCTCACTACGGCCACAAGCAGAGCCAACAGCGACGTGCTGTTTCACCAATGACGTCCAAGTGACATTTTTATTCTGGTCACGTGACTTTTCCGCGCGCGATGGTGAATTGTTGTACCATTGTTGCACCATGTATGGAAACGCGCTATTGGGTAATAAAGAGCCGAAGTGTGTATGTTTACAGCTGGTCGATGTCGATTGCTGGTTTCACTGGGCTGAAACACAATGTTCACCTCTCGCAGCCTGCTTCTGAGCCAGATTCGGATCCGAGTGGGCGAGTACGACTTCTCGAGCGTGCTCGAGCCGTACCCGTACGCCGAACGCAGCGCGAAAAAGAAGGTGGTGCACCCGAAGTACAACTTCTTCACCTTACGAGAACGACCTGGCCGCTGGTCAAGGTGGACGAGCCATTCGAGTTCATGCCACACATCGCGCCCATCTGCCTGCCACCCGACAACGAGTCCGACGATCTGATTGGCCGGAACGCCACCGTCACTGGATGGGGACGCCTAAGTGAAGGTACGCCATACAGAGGTTACACGGTGTGCTTGAGAACTTTTCTGGTTGACAGTCTGCAAAAGGGCAACTGCGGCTTCTACACACAACCACAGTTGTCACTGACAACCGATGACTGAGTTATCAAAAATCTAGCAGGCCAGATCCATATGAGCACCTTAACTATCTTCATCTTCTTTTCGTTTGAGAAAACAAGCGCAGCACAAAATACCTGATTAGCAGAGGAGGTGACCTTTCTCCAACGTTGCCCCATTCATTTTCTTCATTCCACTACTGTTCACATACGGTAGCCAACCAGACGTTTTACTACTTATCGCTGCTTTATCTCTCTTTCTATATTCTTTTCACAAAATTGTTGTCTTTTTTGTTGTTTGTATATAGAAATATGCAGAACTTTGTGAAAATAATCTCTATTTTTGTTTAGGTTATATTCTTCATAGCACGCGTGCCTATCTTCCCCGCAAAGGCATGTTACTGCAGTCACGCCACTTCTAAAATGTGTGCGCTGTTGTTGTTCGGTTGAACATAGAAGGGCTCTGAGTCCCTTTTTACTCCTTCATTTCTTCTATAATGCTCGCTACATGGCGGGCTTACTGAAGTAAATGCATTACTTACACCTTCGTTGTATTACACAAACGTAACGTACACCATGTCTACTAAGCATCGACAAGCCCCTTCATCAGTGTTCCGCATGCCGCGAAATACATTGTATATACCTGCAAAATTATAGGTACCTGATGAATAAATTGGTCTCAAGAGGCGGCACCGGCAATAGAATCACCTTCATCAAAATTAAATGCAATTACTTTTATGGGCGTCCGGGGATTTGGGGGGGGGGGTAAAAGGGGAAGCTGCAGTTCTGTAGAACTCCGGATAATATTTTTTTAATGCATGAAGGAGAGGAGTGTAAATTTAAGAGCTCGTTTTCTTAGTTAGGCACAATATTAGTGAGAACTAAACAGACAATGATGTCAAGGAAAGTATAGGGGATGCTACTAGAAGTAATTGTATTGTAAATGTGAAAAACAAAAAAGAGGACGAAAAGAAAACGTGCCTCGGGCTACTTATCTTTTCTTTCTTCGAATGAATGTTACTTTTACTTCTGATAGCATCCCCTATATTTTCGTCGTCATCACTGTATGTTAGTTATCATCAGTATTTTTCTATGCAGTAGCAACGTGCGCACCTATGTTAGTTAGTCAGCAGACGCATGGTTCACATATCCGTGTAAAACAGCCTTTGGAATTTCCGACCGACTCTGCACGATATTACACACAATTGACTAATCTCACCGTCTTGACACTCCACTAAATACACCTCCCCTCTCCCCTCTCCCTGTGCCTGGATGCCCTTGAGTTCATAACTAAAGTTTTTGGAATCCTGGAGAAGTGAAGAAGCGTGCACAGTGCTGACAAATTGGTACTCTGTTTCTAAAGACTCTCTGACAAGTGAGAGTATGGCGCGAGGTTCCTGATTCACAAAGATATTCGTACAATGTTTAAGAGCCTTAGAGCATGAAGGGTTGCGCAAGGCTAATGGAGCAACGTTGGGTAAATTCTGCAGCACCAAGGGTTTTCAGTTGTGGTAAATCTAAACAGGAGATATGAAGTGAAAGTAATGCAAGGGTACACTTCAACAACGCAAATCCATGATGAGCAGAAAATAGGACAATTCTGTGAGAATGTGAATCTAGTACACAATTATCTCCGATAATAGGAACAAAGCGAAAAACGGGAGAAATATTGTTTAACTATAGAAACGATTTTATGAATTATTGGCAATGTTAGGAGAATTTTCAGAGCGAAAGACTCCACATGAGGAACCTATAATTTAAAAACCGTGCAAATAGCAATTGCACATAAAAATGTACTTACAATAAACAAAGAACCAAGTAGATTTCATAATGTGCGGGGATCTGAGAGTAACTTAGGATACAGAAGTAGAAAGCGAAATAAAAAAGCGGCGATCAAAAACTGGTGATGGCGAAGATCGTGCTCCATTTATAAACAATAGAATCAAAAATAATCACTAAAAACAGGCTAACTTACATGTTGTATAGGTAAAAACGGACGAACTTATAATTCCGCTTGAGAACAGGCACAAGCCCTCAGAATAAAAAGAACATAAAGGTGCTATATGAATGAACACGTAACTAGAACTCTTAAAACTCGTCCTGAAGAAAAAAAACACGTGAAATAGGAAGCAGAACACTAAGACAAGAAATAAGTAAGCTATGTCAAATTACTAGGATTTTAGAAATGCACGACAAAGGATCGAAGTGCCTACATCAAGAAATAAAAGAGAACTTTTTCACCTGTCACAACAAATCCCCCAACGCAAAATTGGTAATAGAAAAAACTAACGTAAGTAAGGTACAGGCTGTTAAAAGAAAACTTCGTATGGGAAATACTGCAAAGCATATTATCTAAGATAAATATCAGCTCTAGAGCACAGAACAAAAGTCCTCTTTCATAATCGTCCCCCCTTCACAATAGTTCCTTATATGACATAGCGATTGTGCAAGAGGCATTTTGTTTTGTGCTGTAAACATAAAGCCCTCCTTTGAATAAAAGCAAAGTCGAACAATACACCGAAGTCCCTAATGTAACTACCAACAAGGGTAAAAAAGTTCAACGCGGCATGCTTACCATTATGTGAGCAAAGAAGGTGGCATATTACTCGAATTTTTCATTCAAGAAACTTGCGCAAATCTACACATCTTGGTCTAAATCTTCTATAGTACCCGGTACTACGAACCAATGCCAACAGTTTACTAATACACAACACTGTAGGCGTGAAAGATGGTCTACAGACTGAACAGTCTTCTTTTGGCAGTGCACAATATAATCACGCAAAAAAAATTTTAAATAGGACAAGGGCCACGTTTTCCTTTTTAATCAACATGGAGAGCAAGTAGTATGGGAACTTGCGGCTGGTTTCGGTTGACGCATACAGAAACATATATGCACAAAATTGAGAATGGAAGAAGCCTTTCGATAGTTAAGCGTAAATTTTAGTGTCATATCGCTAGTACCTCTTTCTCAGAGAACTAAACAGAGCATCTGCGGTCGCACACTGACCCACTACTTCACGGACGCCATTCCACTTTGGAAAAAAGGCGTGCTGTAAAAGGGGTGCTGTTTAGGAAACAGATAAACGAAGAAATCCTCGTAAAGTGAACAATAACTGTATTTAACCTACGACTTCCCGGAAGTGTTTGAGCATAACAGTAAATAAAAAGACATTTACTCCAGCAATGCAAATGAGAAAATTATCAATATACGCAAGTACTAATATCTGGCGTAGTAGCAGGCAGCGACTTGGTTACGGTAGCTTCCATACCACTATGAAGAACAGTTGTCACTGAATATAGCAGTTTAAGGCTCAAAGATGACATCGTATTCTTCAGCAATCAGTGCGAGTAACTGCAAAAAAAAAAAAAGATATGGAAGACCTAGACTGAGAAATCGTCAAGTAGGCTTGACCATGAATATGCCTATGACGAATGTAGTGATAGGTGACCCGACGAGAGGGCTTAGATTTGTGACAGACAACTACAACCTTGAATAAAGCAGTGTGTCTGTGCAGGTAAAACAAATAGAGGAGCCTACTGATGTGAAGTAAACTCACTGAATAGGAAGGATGGGCTGATGCTAACGCAGTACACATTTTTATATGACATTCCCAATCTCCTTTACGACTGTCACTAATGTGGAAAGTTTACTATCATTGTATTTTGTCGTTTCTATCGTGTGGCACAAAAACCTTACGAATAACTACGAAACTGGTGAAAAACATAAAGGCCATACAACGTTAGACGCAGCGAAAAGAATGAGATACTCGCAAGAGACGGGTAGAGGGCAGAATGAATCAGATAACAGGCAGGGGTAGCTCATAACTTAGTTGATAGTAAGAGGGAAAAAAAGTCTGTAGCTCGGCTGATGACTTGAGAAGAACAAAAAGTGATAGTCTAGCAGAGCGTCTGTACGAATATTGAAGGTTGGAAAGCACGGTTGAACACCGTAAAAGGTAAGGTAAAGCTACTAAGTTACGAAATTTGTAGGCATTGAACTGAATCAGCTAGCGCAGAATAGGATGGATGGAGACCATTGGGAGAGGATTGCGTACAGCAGCGAACATGCGTTCTGCGGACGATTGTGATGATGATGAGGAATTACGACCATGATGTTGGAAATGATATTTAAGCGCACTTAGTATGCGTTGAAACTAAAAAGGAGTAAATGACACCTCATATGAGCCTGTTACGAATGGCTACTCTACTCACAGCCTTTGTGCAATTTCTTTTGCGCAATTTGTTCTCATTACATATGCCCCGGAAGTTGAGGCCCTATGCGCAACTGGAGTGGTGTGGTACAGTCTTCCGGGAAGAAAATACTGGTCAACTGGAGGCCACTCCATTGTATATCTAACAAATATAACTAAAGAAAGAAACAAACATGATGCTTCGTGCTGTGCAGTTGATTCAAATATTCAATAGTAATGTCAGGTAGTATTAGATGGTATAGCGCCAGCTTGGTTCTGCTTCATTGCTCCAAATAATGTTATAGTGTAGAGGGCCACATTATATGATTTTTTTGTATAAATATAATATTGGTCATATCATTGACTTCGGGCTCTTCAAGCAGATTACTCAGAAATACAGACATTACGTCGCTGGAAATCATAGTTTCAAGTTGGCATATGTTCACTAGATTGTATTAAATGTAGTGAGAATTTTTAATACTATTACTGAATCTTTGTGGAAATCCATAAAATGTTACTGAGCGGTATTCGCAAAAGTCACGCGACTTGCTGCTAATAATACTCGGCGGGGCTGATGTTTAAACTAAATATCTTTAATACCTGATTCGGTTAACTCGGACCTCAGAAAAGCCTAAGTGGAATTGTTTGATTAGGCCTTGAAAGTGCCTTTTGCGCTCACTATTCATGTATATTCGGCTGAAACAACAGATAACTATAAATAGTTCCAGCTTCCCCACTGT